GATTCTTAATACCTGTGTGACCTTGGGCACATCACTTAACTTATCTGGACCTTGGTTTCTTCATCTGTAAAATCAAGTGGTTGATCTAGATGGCCTCTGGGTTCCCTTCCAGCTCGAAAACTGTAACCCTATGTTCCTCATTTCCCTGAAGTTATTTTTGTCCCCTCCCTCTTTATTTGTGTGCTTTGAGGATTCTCCATGTATGATATAAGTTCCTTGAGGTCAGGACTACATACTCTTTGTCTGTCTCTCTTCATGGTCTAACATATTGCCTTGCACATGATTAGTATTTTGGAATATTTGTTGAATTGAATTGAATGATGCCTTAGATAGGAAATATACATATTTTACGTTAAACTTAAGATCAAAAGTAGTACTTGGGCCAGTAGAAATTGTTCAATATATACTTTCCAACTGCTTGTTTTTGAGAAAAGTAAATGATTCTATATGAGAACCTGAAAATTATGCAGTAGTAGGAAGTGAAATTCTGTGTCACAAAATATAGTCTATTTTAGAATAGCACAGAAGATTATGCTTTTTTTAAATGTAAGGACAAAAGAAGATGATGGTTTAAAATGGTCAGCTTTGGTCAAATGTACAAACTTGATACTTAAGGAAGAAATGGGAAAAAACAGGGTTGTGGAAAACTGAACAGTTTATTATCATAGGTAATTTACTGCTTTAGTCTCTTCTTTATTCTATAGCTTTTTTAATATTGAAAAACATTTAGATTTTATTAGTCAGGTCACATCAGCAAGCATTTGTAGTAGGTCATTTCTCCCTCATTGTTATCTAATAGAAAATACAATTCTTTATTTTCCTGATCAACTGTATTTGCCCAGGATGACTTCATTACTCTGAACCTCTGCATGAAGGTCTAATATTAATTAATCTTTGTTTGTTTGTTGAGAGAAAATGTGATACCCCAGTACAAGGAACAGTTTTGAAATCTATATGTGACACTAACTGTGGCCCTGAGCAAATACTTGGGCTTTCTGAGCTTTACTTTCCTTATGTGTAAAATATGACTAATAATAATTACAGTAACTTCCTCACAGGTTTGTTGTTAGAAGAGGGCTTTGTCATTCTTAAACCATTCTGTAATGTATGGTGCTGTTGTTTAGTTCTTTAGTCATGTCCAACTCTTTGTTACCTCATGGACCATAGCACTGTTCATGCAGTTTTCTTTGCAAAGATGCTGGAGTGCTTTGCCATTTCCTTTTCCAGTGAATTAAGGCAGAGGTTGTGATTTGCCTAAGGTCACACAGCTACTAAGTGTCTGATGCTGGATTTGAACTCCTCTTCCTCACTCCAGGCTCAGTGCTCCATCCACTGAGTCTTCTAGCTGGTATAGCAGTGCTGTTTATTCATATGATTTCCTCCTAGTACAATATAAAGTCCTTGAAAGCAGTGGCAGTTATGCTGGATTTCTTTTTCCACATGTCTTTGGTGCCTGGCATAACTGCATATCTAAAAGGCACTTAATAAATGATTGTTTACTTGGTTTCAATTAAATTTTCTACACAGATATTTTAATGCCAAAATAGTAATAAAAAGAAATTTGGTGAGTATAGCAGTGGTGAATGAGGCAATATGATGTAATGGAAAAGCACTTGGATTTAGTACTGAAAGACCTTGTTTCAATTCCTTGCATTTCCACTGTGTAACCCACTTCTGCAGTCATCAATTTCCATCTGTAAAATGAAACATCTCTTAATTTTAATGCTTTCCTTCTGTTAATTGTTTCCTATTTATCCTGTATATAACTTGTTTGTATATATTTATTTCTTTGTTGTCTCTTCCATTAAATTGTGAGTTCCTGGAGGACAGGGATTGTGTTTTACCACTTATTTTTTGTATCTCCATTTGTATCTCCGCAGTGCCTGGCCACATATTAGGTACTTAATAAATGTTTATTGATTTATTATTGACTGATTGAAAATGTTTAGAGTAAAAGATCTCCCAGTTCTCTCTCAGCTGTAAATTCTCTAATTATAGCACTGTATATTTTTTCATTGAATTCTATGAACTCTTTCAGTACCAGGTCATAATTGCTTCTGCTTTAGGATGAATGGACTCTAAAAGTTTATAAAAGAAGTTGAAAAGGCATGAACATTTGTTAATCCATACATTACTGAAGTCTTCCTCCTACCAAGAAGATCCAATTAGACCAAAAAGAAAAAAGGCTTTTTTAAGCAAATTAATTCCAATTGCAACCTTTTGGCATTATAAGTCATGAGTCATCTTTATTTTATTAAATGACAAAAATAAGTCAATCATCTTGTGAATGTCAGAATAATTTTGACATAATACCTGTGTGAAGTATAACTGCTCATTTTCCAAAGCAGGATTATTAAATATGGCAAAGTTTCAGGAAAAAAAATTATTTCAAAAACAAATTTTAAAATATGAAAAGCAAAACAGCTGACACTGTGTAGAAGGCTATATATGTATTATATGTATATTATATGCATATGTGTGTGTATTTATATATATTTTATATATATATATATAAATGTAAACTGCTGGAGAGCTAAAGAAAATTACAGTGGACAATGATAGCATATAGCTTAGGGTAAGAGCACAGTTGACAATATTGTTTTGTCAGACTTTAACATGTCACATCAAAAATAGTGGCATGATTTTTAAAAATACATATGTTCTTCCTACAAATTTTCTTTTAGATACTGACCTCAGCACAAAGGAGCACTAAACTATTACTATTCTGTTCTCTGAAAAAGAAATGTAGAAATAACTTCAAATCTATTTTTGTATGCTGCTGATGGGAGCCCATTCAGCATGAAAAATTATATGGCGAGAAGAATACCTTTGGCTCTGTGCTTAACATTGGAGTGGGGTAGAAAATATGTATTAGAAAAATACATAAGAAAATACAAGGTATCATTCTATTAGGGTTTCTTGTGATTATTTTATAGTTTTCATGTGAATTTAGATAGCTTCATTAGGCTACATACTAAGCTTCCTGTCTCTTTTGTGTCTCTCCATCCTAACAGTCATAAGTCAATAACTTTTGCAGGTCTATTTGGAAGCAGAGTAAGATATATTTATGGTCAGATTATGAGGGCCTTATTCACTCTTTTTTTTTTCATTTTAAAAATACCCTCTCCCTCCCCTTTGTTTACTGCTTATAATTTTTCATCAAATTCGAAGTATAACCAGAGTCAACTATTGTCTTGATTAACTTATTAAAAAATAAAATCATTGTTATTTGATACTCATTAGTCTTTAAATGAAATAAATTTAAATAAAATGCAGATTTAAATAAAATGCAGGACAAAAACTATCATATGACCAGCATTTTTTTTAAACATTCAAATGCATCAACTCTTTTGCTCTAATAAAATCTTTTAAAAGACATTTTGTACCTTTTGAAATATAGCTTAATCCTTTTTTTGAAAGCTCTGAAATGAGAGCTAGTATATATGCAACTCCATGGCCTAAATGACTCAAGCTCTAAACTTTTATCTGAATCTGTGGAGCTTGGATATAAATTGAAAAGACCACAGCTATGGGGAGAAGAACTGTACCGTAAAGGCCTTTCTGCATAGATTATGAACATCATAACTCAATAATTTTTTTCAAAACTGTGGTTATAATTGGACCCAATGGGGGTCTCTTTCTTTGATCAGATCACAGTAACTGTGACTTTACACTGGAAAATGTCACTACTGTGAAGGTTTATCACCTGTAGAGCCAGTCTTTTCTCTGATGCTGTGTTCCTTTCTCATTAGCATTATTCAAAGTTTAGTTGTTAATTAGGTTGACACTTCAACTACAGTCATCATCTACAACAGCAGTCATGACTTGCTTGCATAAAAAAACTCAAAAAAATATTTTTCTTTATATATATATACACATGTATATGTGTATATATATATGTACATATATACATGTATATATGTATACATATATATATATATATATAATTCAAAAGAAAGGAATGAAACTATTTTGGCTATAGGATGGTTTATGAGGGGAAGAATACACCTACCTTATTTAAAAAACAAACAAACTTGATTTTGTGCTTTTTTCCCCTATCAATTTAAAAATAATTGAACTACTTTAATTATTTCTCTGGGAGGTAATGATGAGTAATAGAATATGAATGTACATATTTTCCAAGTGGACAGACCTAAATTTCCATGCTTTCTAAGTATTTTAACATTGCACAATTTGAAAAAAAGAGGATGGAATGAGTTGGAGGGTGAATAAACCTATCTCCTCTCATATTTCATTTTTTATTAGGTTTAGGTCAGGAATTTTACTTAAAGTATCATGTCAAGTGAGGGCTATATGTATCATAAATATCTTCTAAAATATGTAAAACTTGAATTTTGAATCATCAAGCCAAATAAGATTAATAAACCTCAGAAATCAGGCAAAAAATTAAGTGTTGTTTTGTCTTATAAGAGGCACTTTGGAAATAAAAGCATGAGAAATGCCATAAAGACAATTATATTGAAAACTTCCCATTCATCTTAAGTAACAGATAATGGTTGACCAAATGCATGGGTAGAAATTATACATGCTAATGAGGCATTAAAAAAAACTTAAAATCAAGTAAATGGTAAATAAACCTTGGGGGCCCTTAACAAATAACCTTACGTACATAAATGAAAGATCCCCAACTGGCTTCATCTCAAACAAGCAGGCACATGTTATGATTGCTAAAATCTTTCTGAAAAGTGGCTCACAAGCAGTTTACTATAAAATAATTAAAGATTATTTATGTCAAGAGGCCTTGGGAAAAAAAAAAGAGAGCATAAACCAATTTACATTAGCACTTTACCATCATCTCCTGCTTTCCTTTCAATTAACGAACCAGCAGGTGCTCTCTACAGTTAAAAAGATAAGCTATCAAAGAGGAGGATGATTTTTTGGCTGACCTGCAGACACTGTGGTTTGCCTGCTGATTGGGTTCATACCTTGCTGTACCAATTTCTGAGGTGTTAATTTAACTGTTCCTCTCTGTTACACAGGTCTCGGCCTTGAAAAATAAACTGAAGAAGCAGTCTACAGCTACGGGTGATGGAGTAGCTAGAGCCTTTCTTAGGGCTCAGGCTGCTTTGTTTGGATCCTACAGAGATGCATTGAGATACAAACCTGTAAGCATTTCTCCCTTTTTTCAATTTGTTTGAAATGGGGAGAAGTATGTACCCCATTCACACCTGAAAAAAGATTTGGGGATGGGGGTGTTTTTAAGTGTTATTTTTTAGAGAAAGATCATTTTTCACTCCCTTTCTATTATTTATTTGGGTCCTAAAATTAATACATTTTTATGAATGTTAAGCAGTTTCTCAGTACTTCATTATTTACCCTTAAATTAGTATTTCTCTTCATTTCCATTATTGTAGCCTTCATTATTCCTAAAAATGCGACCGAGAACTGATTCATGAGTTGTATTAAGGTATTTTAAGGTACTTACCGATCCTCATTAAAATGGAGAAATGAAAGTAAATAACAATTGGACTTAAAAGATTATTTATTTCTAGAAGTATAATAGGTGAAAATAGTAGGAAAAACATTTTCTGTCAAATATTGTAAAGTGAAATCTTTCATGTTAGTGATCTTCTTGTCCTCTCCAATACATTATAATATTCAAGAGTGTATTATTCTTAGTTTATTTTATGTCTAATTTGTGTCTTTTTTAAAATTACAGATTATAAATAGCCATAACATTTTGTCTTTTTTTTAGTGGATAGAGAATGAAATATATTGCATCTTACTTCTTTTACCTGGATAGAGAGTATCAAGTTATTGTAATCTAATGATATTCTGTGATTAGGTGAAAAAGTTAGCATTATATTATGTATTATATATTTTACAATAGAACATGCATATCCCTTAGTAACAGTTTAATAAGTATTGTGGAGTTGAGTTTAGCTTGCATTAATTAAAACAATATTTAGCATGTGCAGAGGAGAGTAAGTGGCCAAACACAATAAACTACTTTTAGTTTAGTCAAGTTGTAAGGTTGCATTTATGCTTTCAGAGAAGTACAGAGTTGTCCTTTTGTTCTCTTCATTTGTAGTGATTGATTTAAACTGTTAAACTTCCTTAGAGTTAATGGTAATAGCCTATATTGTCATCTATTCTTTTATCAATTTTCTGGTTTTTGGCACCGGTAATTTTTGTTTAAATAAATCAGATTGAACTTATCTCAGTTTTGTGTCCTATCTTACTTTTATTCAGCTCAATCACTACTTCTTCCAGGAGGCCTTTTCTGTTCCCCCTACAAGTGCTAGTACCTTCTCCTCTAAGGGCCACATTCCATCTACTTTGTATGTGTTGTGTATGTGTGTTTTTATATAAAGTCTCTAAAGTGTCAGAACTGTTATTGCTTTTTCTTTGTATCCCCAGTACTTAGCATAATGCCAGTAAAAGCTTAATAAGTGCTTGGCATAGATGTTTATTATTGCTCTAACGAGTCTTTCATACGTATTTGAATGTATTTCATTTTTATGATGTTATTGTGAGTCAATATTCACTACCCAGCACCTCCTCTTTCCCTTCTTGAAGAAAAGGGTATGTATAATCATGAAGCCTACCACATGATATATTGGCATGAAACTTCTGTCTGTAAGCCTTTGGATGCTTTCATTTCTTGCTTCTCAACTGTGTTTTAAAACATACTGTTTTTTACTGTTTTTCTGTTTAACTTTCACTAAAAGCATCAAGTATTAAAAAGTATGTCTTGATTGAGTTTGAAGGGCCATATTTTTCATATAATTTCTGTACTTCTTAATCCCCTCTGTGCTTCAGACTGAAGTCATCTTCACAGTGGTCTTTTTGCAGATAGATATTATGCAAAAAATGATGATGCCAACTCCTTTATTTACCTCTCCAAAGGAGAACCAGTGAGCTATCCCTCTATTTAGTTACAACTTTGGTCTTCTAATTTCATTTACAAAGAGAAAGTTTAGTTTCATAATATTCAGTTCCTCCAATATAATATCTATTTAGTCATGACCAGTAAGCTCATATTTATATTACAAGCAACAGTTAATATTTATAGATGGTCTTAAAAACTGTATGATTATCTGGCCCCTTTGCCACCTTTTTTGCTGCTCTGCCTGTGTCACTACTAAAGTAGAAGAAGGCCTCAGAGGATTGAGTGCCAATGTGTATTTTTCTTTGTTTCAAGAGATTTGACATAGCCAAACACTTCATTACCAAATAACCAGCCTATTTAGTGATTAGCATCTCCCAACTTAATTATTTTGATCCTTGGAGTACAGATGCAATCTGTTCTTTCAATTGTGGTCAAAGCCTTTCCAGAATAGTAGAACATGCCAGAGATTATGCTCTGCTTATGTAGCCTTTTCTGTGTGAGTGAAGGATGTAACAATGAAAAAGGAATAGTCCCTGCCCTCAAGGATCTTAAAATCTGTCATGGAAAATGAAATGTTCATAACTGTCACATGATAACATGCGTGAAGTACAATATCAAAGGTATAGATAAAGTGCAACAGTATTCAACAGGAATAAAATCACTTTTGGTAAGAAATGACTGGGAAAGGTTTGTGATGGAAGAGATGCCATTTAAATTGAGCCTTCATTGGTGGAGTTTCACTTAACAAAGATATGGGAAGAAGTCATTCTTTGTATATGAAACATAATGAGGAAAGGCATAAAGATTGGGAAGGGTGAATAGTAGAATTTGTGTACAGTGTGTAATCAAGAAGAGGCATAGTGTATGATAAGCTTGGAAAAAAAAGGTTACAAATACATTATGGCAGTTCTTAAATACCAAGTTTAATTTGGTAGGCATTGGAGAGCTTTTGAAGGTTTTTCATTTAACTTGGGGATGGAATAGTATCTGAACTTTAGGAAGACCATTCCAGCAGTTTGGCATCCCAAATCTCTTAACAATTTGATTTCAGCCTACCTTTCCATGCTTATTTCATAAACTCAGCATCCTATCTGTTGCCTTCATACCTGTAAAACCCTCCTTCCTTGTTTCTCTCTTGCAATCTCTAAGCCAGCCTTTAAATAAACAAATCACATACATGCTTAACTCATGGGAAACATCCTATGTGAGACTTCCTCTGATCTCCCAGTCATTAACAATCTGTCCCCATTCAGATAATTTAGTATATCCTTACCCATTGACATGTTCTTTCCACTCAGTTTAATAATCACGCTTGGAGGCAGGAATTTTTTTTTGCTTTGTCTTTGCATTCTCCGTGTCTAACACACAGTCTTGCACTCAGTAGACATTTAATAAATGTTGATTGGATGGGATTGGATTGGAAAAGATAGCCTGGGGGTTGTAAGAATAGCAGAAGTACTTAGTGTAGTCTGGATGACCAGTAAGAGGGTCTTAGGAACAGGTAGGAATTCATTGTAACTAAATTTTAAGTAATAATCTTTTCTCTTTTCCCTAAATTGTTTCATCTGAATTTTAAATAGATTTTGCTTAAGAGTCAGTGTGTATTGTTTTATGTCAAAATGAGTTCATATAAATAAATTACTTTAAAAGGTACATGTAATTTCCTTCTGAGTATACTAACCCATTAAAAGAGGAAAATTCTAATGTAATTATTGTAAAAACAATTAGTGTCTTGTTAAGGTATTAGTTTATTTGTCCCAAGAATAAAGTTTCTGCTCCTTAACATAAAACCTCTATTGAATTTTGATTAAATAGGCTTTGAAAGTAGGTTTTTTAAAAGTAGCTTATAGATTGATATTAAAGGAATTATTATATTGATGTGTTACTATTTGCCTTTCTAAAACATTTCAATTTATTATTTATTGTTTACTTTTTTCTTTTTAAATTTTGAGTTTCAAATTCTCTCCCTCTCTTCCACCCCTTCCCACATCCACTGAGAAGGCAAGCAATATGTTGTCTATTATACATGTGAAATCCTGCAGCACATATTTCCATATTAGCTATATTTCCAAAAAAAATAGTTAAGAGAACTAAGGAAACTGAGAAAATTATACTTCAGTTTGCAGAGTTCTTCAGTTCTCTCTCTGGAGGTGGATAGCATTTTTTAATATATCCTCTGGAATTGTCTTGGATCATTGTAGCCAAGTCTTTCATGGTTGATTGTTCTTACTGTGCATCAATTCATATAGTTGTTGCCAAGTTTTTCTGAAACCACCCCCCTGCATTGTCATTTCTTATAGCATAGTAGTACTCCATCACAATCACACAACTATTTAGCTGTTCCCCAACTGATGAACATCTCCTTGATTTCCAATTCTTTACTCCTGAAAAAAGGAACTTCCATAAATATTTTTGTGCATATAGGTCCTTTTCCTTTTTCTTTGATCTTTTTTGGGATATAGACCTAATAGTAGTATTGCTGGGTCATAGGGTATGCATAGCATTATAGCCTTTTCAACATAATTCTGAATTGCTCTACAGAATAGTTGGACTAGTATACTTCTCTAAGTAGTTCATTAGTGTACCTATTTTTCCCTCATCCCCTCCCTGTTTTTTAAATAAGGAAAATGTTCATACAGATTTCCTTTAAATTATTGCAACTCTACCTTTCATTCATTTTAATTAAGATTCACAGGTGAAGTTAAAATTATTAAATTGTTGAACTTTAGATCCTGAAGGGAACTTAGAAATCATGTAGTTCAACTCCTTTATTTTATAGTTTAATAAAATAGATTCCAAAGAGACAAAAATGACTTTCCCAAGGTTATAGCATGATTTAAGTGATTTTGGAGTACCTTTATTTTGAATAGGCCAGCCTTTAAATAAACAAACCACATACATACCACTATTGCAACTGTACTTTTAACCTGAGAAAGAATTTAGGGTTATCCATCAACCCTATTTATTTCAGGCACATAGAAACAGACCCAAAGAGTTCCAAAAACTTGACCTGGCTCAAACAGATCATTAGAAGTAAATGTGAGAGTAAAAGAATTAGGGTCTTATAATAATTCTGATTTTTCCTATTCTGAAACTCTTTCCACTGCACCATATCATGATGGCATTTGAATAGTCATTTCAAAATCCTGCTGAAAGACTTACCAAAAGCATACAATAGAAAGAATTCTTATCAGTTTTTAAATACCTTACTCTTGCCTGTACTCTCTCCAGACTTCCCCTTCTCCTCCTTTGCTGCATTGCTTCCTCAGGAAA